CCCCCCCCCCCCCAGAGAGTTCCCTCGTGCCTTCGTCCAGTCACTCTCCACACCCACACCCCACTATTCTGATTCTTGGCACCACAGATTACCCGTTTTAAAGAAACTGCCAGACTTTCTTAAAGCAACCATTCAGTTTTTTATCCCCATCAACAGCAATGTATTTGTTTGCTTCACATCCCTGCCAACATTTGGTGCTGTCAACCTTCTTAATTTTAGCCAGTCCAGTGGGTAGGTAGTGATACCTAGTTGTGGTTTTCATTTAAATCTCCCAGATAATGATGTTGAGCATATTTTCATGAGCATGTTGCATACCATCAATTGTAACATGTATTCTGACTTCAGGAGTTAAATCGTCAGAAAAGTGTGCATCTTAAAATCAGTGAATTATAGTACCTTCCCCCACCCCCCAGTTCCTCTGTGCTGCTTTACAGTCAGTCCCTGCTCACACGGGCAGTCCTGGCACCTACTGACCTACAATCTGTTCCTAGTTTGCCTCTTCTCAGAATGTCTATATAATTGAAATGTACAATGTAGTAGGCTGAACAATTACCCCCAAAGAAGTTCACATCCTAAACCCTAGAACCCATGAATATATGTTACCTTACATGAGGTAAAAGGGACTTTGCACATATGATTAAGGACCTAGCGATAGGGAGATTATCCTGGTTTATCCCAGTGGGCCCAATATAAGAGACCTTTCAAGAGCAAGGCAGAGAAAGACATGGGATGATAGTATCACAGAGAAATTGGAAGATGCCACACTGCTGGCTTTGAAGGTAGAGGCAGGGGTCATGAGCCAAGGAATGCAGGAGCCTCCAGAGCTGAACCCCACACACAAAAAAAACAGATTGTCCCCAGGAGCCTCCAGAGGAAACAGCTCTCCTAACACCTTGACTTTAGCCACCTAAGACTCATTACAGGTCTCTGACTTCTAGAAGTGTAAGAGAATAAATGTGTGTTGTTTTAAGCCACTAAGTTTGTGGTAATTTGTTACAGTAACAGTAGGTAATGAATACGATGTGTCTTTTTTCTTGCACTTAGCATAATATTGTTGAGGTATATCCATGTTGCTGCTTGTATCAGTAATTGGTTCCTTTTTATGGATAGTAGTCCATTGTCTGGATATCTGACGTTTTCTCGATCCATCCACCAATTGATAGACGTTTGGATTGCTCCTATTTTTTGCCTATTATGAATAATGCTGCTACATACATTTGTATGCAAGCCTTTATACGGACACATTTCTTGGGTATTCTCTTGGGTAAATACCTAAGAATGAAAGTGTAGGCGTATGTTTAACTTTTTAAGAAACTGTTGAACTGTTTTCCATAATGACTATACCATTTTACATTACCACCAGCATAATGAAGTTTCCAGTTTCTCCACATCCTCACCAGAACTTGGTGGTGTCCGTCCTTTTAATTTTAGGGGTGTATAGTGGTATCTCCTGTGGGTTAATTTAGCGTTTCCCTAATGATTAGTGTTGGTGACGATCTTTCATGTGCTCATAAGTCATTTGTAGTATCTTTTTTTTTTTTTTTTAAATATATCTTTATTGATTTCAGAGAGAGGAAAGGAGAGGGAGAGAGAGAGAGAGAAACATCAATGATGAGAGAGTCATTGATCGAGCCCACAACCCGGGCATGTGCCCTGACCAAGAATCGAACCCCGATCGCCTGGATCCTAGGTCGATGCTCAACCGCTGAGCCACGCCTGGCCGGGCTGTAGTATCTTCTTTGGTGAAATGTTTAAGTAACTCTTTTGCCTATTTTAATTGGATTGTTTGTCTTTTTTATCACAGAGTTGTAAGAGTTTTAAAAAATATATTTTCCAGCCCTGTCCGGGTGTAGCTCTGTCGGCTGAGCATTGTCCCATGCACAGAAAGGTCACCAGTTCGATTCTTGGTCAGGGCACATACCCAGATTTCGGATCCGATCCCAGGTCGGGGTGCATGCAGGAGGCAACTGATCAATGTTTCTCTGTCCCTCTCCCTCTCTCTCTAGAAAACAATTAATAAAAACATTTTATGTATGTATTTTTTCCTAAAATCAACTCCTTTATTATATATATGATTTGAAATTATTTTTCTAGCCTGTGGCTTGTCTTTTTTTTCTTAATGGCATCCTTTGAAGAGCAAAAGTTTTTAATATTGATGAAGTCTAACTTGTCAATTTTTTTTCTTGTGCTTAGCATAAGTAGAATGCTTTTGGTGGCATATATAGGATACCTTTTTTTAACCCAAGGTCCTAACCCAAATAATTTCTGCTATATGTCTTCTAGGAGTGTTTCAGCTCTCATATGTAAGTCTATTCATTTTGAATTCATTTTTGTGTGTGGTATGAAGTAAAGGTTTAAATTATTTTTTTTTGCATACAGATAACTAATTTTTCCAAGTATCATTTGTTAAAAACATATTGATTCCCTATTGAATTGACTTAGCACCTTAATAAAAAATCAATTGATCATATTTGCGAGGGTTTGTTTTCTCAGTTCTGTTCCATTGGCCTTTATGCCTGACTTTATGCGATTTCTATACTGTCTTGATTGTTTTAGCTTTGTAGAAATCAAGTGTAAGTCCTCCAACTTTGTTCTTTTTAAAATTGTTTTGGCTGCCTTGCTCCTTTGCATTTCTGTATAAATTTTAGTATTAGTTTGTCAATTTCTACCCAAACAAGACCACCTGCTGAAATTTTCCCAGGTATTGCATTCAGTGTATTTGAGGGAGAATTGTCATCTTAACAATTCTGAGTCTTCTAATTCATAACCATGGCATGTTTCTCCATTTATTTAAGTTTTCTCTAATTTTCCTTAGCAATGTCTTGTAGTTTTTACTGGATGGAAATTGCAAGACCATCCCCAAGTTTGCTAGGAG